CTTGAATAGACATTTCTCCAGAGAAGATACACAGATGGCCAATAAGCCCGTGAAAGATGCGCCAAGCTGTTAGTCGTTAGGGAAATACAAATCAAGACCCAATGAAATACTACTTCACACATATTAGTATGGCTATTAAAAAAAAAAAAAAAAAACAGAAAATAACAAGTGTTCGCAAGGATGTGGGGAAATCGGAATCCCCGTGCGTTGCCGATGGGGGTGTGAATGGTGCCACCGCTGTGGAAAACGGTATGACAGCTCCTCAGAAGGTAAACATAGAATCACCAGAGAAGCATAAACCCCAAAAAGGTGAAACAGGGACCCAGATGGATGCTTTTCTATGAATATTCATAGCAGCACCTTTCACAGTGGCCAAAAGGCAGAAACAACTCAAGTGAATGAGTAAACAGATGTTTACCCACAACAGAACCTTATTCAGCCATGACAAGGAATGACATTCTGACCCAGGCTCCCGCGTGGATGGCCCTTGAGGACATTATGCTGAGTGAAATAAGCCAGTCACAAGAGGGCAAACCCTGCAGAATTCCATCAACGAGGCACCTGGAGCCGTCAGATTCAGAGAGACAGAAAGCGGAATGGTACGTGCCAGGGGCTGGGGGCCGGAGCGGGTGTGGAGTCAGTGTTCAGTGGGTACGGAGTTGCTGTTTGCGGTGATGAAACGGTGGTGGTGGCGGCTGCACAGCACTGTGAATGGACTTCACACTGCTCCACTGTTCACCTACATGTGCTTAAAAGGCAAATTTTGTTCTATGTTTTAATACCGCAATAAACAATATATAAACCTGGATTTAATCGTGTAGAATGCTATGTTTTAAAACAACGGAAATTTTCAAATGTGCACACAAATGGGGAGAACAATGAACTCCCAAGTCCCTCTAACTCAGTTTGAGGCATCAGCTTGTTTCACCTATGCCCTTGCCCTCCCACCCCCACTGAATTATTTTAAAACAATTCCAAACATCATTTCATTCATAAATATATCTTTAGAAAGAAAAGGCCTGTTTAAAAACAACCGCACTATCAGTCTGCCTCCCGAATGCCTTCATTCCTTACTACCCACCTCTGAGTCTCCTTCCCGAGTCTGAGCAGACTCGCCCGTGAGCCAACAAGTCTCTACAGTCAGCTCGTTTGAATCAGGGTCCAGACATCGCATTTGGTTGACAGTTTTTAAATATATCTTATCCCGTAATAGTTCCCCCTTCCTGTCTTCCTCACCGTTCATTTGTTGAAAGGGAATGATTTGCCCTGTAGATGTTTCCACATTCTGCACTTGGCGTACCTGTGGTGGTGGGCGCCTGTCATCGGGCCGTCACCTGTTGAGACTGACCCTGCCATCATCACTGAGGCCTTTTGTAAAAGACAGGTGGTGTGACAGGAGCAAGCCCACCCCACCCCCACCCTGCTGGCAGGGTCTCCCCAAGGACAGAGCCATCTCAGCAAGCAGCACCTCCACCGTGCTGGCCTCAGAACCCTCCATGTGTGGCAGTGCAGAGGGCAAGGGAGTCGCCCTGGGATAGGGGTAGATGCCCCTGACTTGTTAATGGTTGAAACTTTTTAAAAATTTATTTTTTTGAGACGGAGTTTCACTCTTGTTGCCCAGGCTGGAGGGCAATGGCATGATCTCGGTTCACCGCAGCCTCCGCCTCCCGGGTTCAAGCGATTCTCCTGCCTCAGCCTCC